ATTATTCATCATCACCATCAGCTAGCTGAAGCTTTCTCAGTGATGTCTGGGTAGAAGTTTAATTGCAATATTAAATCATGCGAGTCAGGTAGGCCAGCTTTGTAGCTCAGCATAATTTTAACAATTACTGCGTTCTTTTGGATTAGAGGAAAACATACAAGTCAGTGTCAGAATAAATCAGATTAGCAACTAAGCAAATAATTTTCTACAACCATTTGTGACAAGCATGACAAAAATAGGCAGCTAGCTTGGTCTGTTTATATACTTAATACTCTACAGCAGTCGGTGTGCATGTAACTTTCAGTCAGAAATGAGCCAGAAGACAGTTTCTCATAGCGAGAACTACAGAAAAAAAAGACAGGATGTATAAAACCGACTCCAACTGCAATGAGTGACTGAATTCCCACAGCCAGGCCATTTTGAAAAGTATACAATGGATAGCATCAAAGAGCAACTGTAATTTTAAAAATCACTGTCCTTACTTAAAAGACACAAAATGCAATTAAGGATATCACAATAATAATTCAAAATATGAAGTATTTTCAGAGCATACACACAGGAAAGCTGTCATCTCTGACTCTGCTGACAAACCCAGGCAAAATGTAAGAACTGTGAAGTATTCATAAATCGGCAAAAATCTTTTGCAAAGTGTCAGAGAGCAGGCCCTTCAACAAAAAAGAAAAAAGGATGTACTTGTTTATCCGTTTTTCATAAGCTTATTTCGAAAAAAAAAAAATTACCTAAGGTGGCTTTTTTTATTATTTCAAAGACAGAAAAAATATCATTACTTTTCTAGTACTGTAGCCTATATGGCTTTTTACACAGTCATGCTTCAACAAGCCATGAAATTCAGAGTATAAACATTCAGTAGGTGCAGTAGAAAAAACAATCTCTCACCTTTCTGCCACATAGCTTTTAAAAAAGCCTGGTGCATTCTCCATCTCAGATACAGTATGCTTTATGTATGTAAAGTAAATTCACCAAAATAACTTCATAATGGTGGGTATTTCAGTGCTTGCAGTGCATGCAAATGCTTAATAAAATAAAGTCTTAAAGCACTCTTCAAGCTGGTCTTGAAAATTTAAGTGTTTGAGATAAACTAATGAGGTTTTAAACACTTAGCCTGGTATGCAACAATTTGAATTCTGAAGGATATACAATAGCTAGTCAAAATTTACAGACATTCAGTCATGAAAATTCATATTTAGGCATCTAAAATTCAAAACACACAGAGGTAAGCTGTGGTCAGTGATCATCACCACCTTTCTGGGTTAAAATCTCCAGTGTATTTTTTGACATTTACAACAATTTCTCAGATCTTTGTGTAACTTCTTATAAAGCCTTCAAAGTTGAAATGTAGAGCATTTAACCATTCTAGAAAAAACAGATATTCCTTCTGTCCTTTTTCAATTGTGGTTCTTCCTAATTCAAGGAGTCCAGCACATAATTAAAATAAAATAATGTCAACTGAAGCTAAGAACTACTGAAATATCAAATCTGACCCAGCTGCCAGAGTCAGAGTTGTTCACACTGACATTTCTACTGTCACATAACACCACAGTTAGTTTTAAACATGCACAATGTCAGCTTTAGGTCTACTCACACAGTGACAGAAAAAGAATGTGACAGCCCCAAAGAAAACAATGAGGGTATGAAACTAAGCAAAATTATTCCATGTGCAGTATGACCTTTTCTTTACCAAAATACATAGAACCTTCCTTAATAAACTTTTTTTTTTTCTTCCCTCTTTAGAGAATGCTGGTGGTTGCAGGTAGGGAGAGAAAGAAGCAAGAGCCGTTGTCAAATACCTTTTTTCCCTGTCTGTTAAAAATAAACAAAACCCCTGCCCACTCAATAAAACAAAATCTTTGACAGAGCAACCAGTTTGTAGAGTTACTGACATTGAAATAACTACCATTTAGGACCCCCTGAATGAAGGGAAGGGATAGAAGGGAAAATTGAGAGAAACTTAGCTGCACACAAATCAGCAGAAGAACCCAAGTTAGACTGATTTAACTATCTGTTAAGAAGCAGATCATTAAAATCCATACAAATCTAGACTTAGTAAAGCTATCCCAATATCAATATAATCCTCGTCTGCAAAGGTTTATTTCAGAAAACTTACTGCAACTGATGAGACCTGAAGGTTCTGGATAGAAAAAAGGAAACTCAAGAAGCATATGCGAGAGAAAAAAGAAAAAAAAAAGAAAACCAAGCAGTAACAACAAAAATACCAACCAACAAAGATTCTTAGAACGTTCCCGCGCCCCCAAGTTGCAAAAGCATTTTTTTGTTTTAATTGGTGATAATTAATACCTCATAAAAACAAAACACGGGGGGGGGGGGGGGGGAGTGTCTTGAAGCCTGCGACACTGTCTCCAGGCATAAATCTTTCACACATTTTTGCTGACTGTAACCGTAAGGCTGAGAACTACCTTTCACATATCTGGGGAGAGATACTCATCAGTACAGCAGTACTGTTCAAAACTGAGGGTGGCAGGAGATGGAGAGTCACTACTATCTGGTTTTTATATAAGACACTCAGGAATGCAAATACAACTCTCAGAAAACCAAAACAGTAACATAAAAAGGCAGAAATACTTGCATAAAAAACTGAACTTCTGCAAAATCCAGTCCCAGGAACTTTTCTCCTATTTAAAAAAGGGAGTGGCTACTTAAAAACAAGTACAAAATACTCCTTGCTTTCTCTGACACCGAATATTAATCTTACCACAGGAGATTTCAGTTGTGGTAACATGAATGGAATCTGTTAATTACATAAATGACTTGCTGCAACTCTGTCCAATCGGTTTACTCTATGGACTCAAGTACTACAGAAAATGCTCTGATGTGAGACTATTCTCAAAAGCTTGAAAGAGAGGAGAGTGGAATGCACCATGAGAATCCTTCACGAGTACTCCAATCTTTCCACACTTTGCTAGGGATTACCATAATGATCTCCTACATTGATTTCTGGTGAATTACCAGAATTCTATTTGGACCAGCACATAGCTGTACATCATCACACGGCACCGCCACATATCCATCTTTGCAGAACACAGCTGTAATGAGAGCAGTGCATGCTTGCTGCAAAATAAATAAATATTGCACAGAAGGAGACACCCTCAAATTAAAATCAAAAGGACATTTAAAGTTTGGGCATTCTTCATTACCTGAAAGAATATTCCATGCTGAGGCCATTATCCATCAGAAAATCTCCATCTGTGTATAATTATTTCTGATCAATGATATTAAGCTTCGTTAAAGAGCTAGTGAGGATGTGAGAGAAGACAGAGAGAGCTCAAGCTGTAAATAAATCTCTCCACTGTATTTCACTTTAAATTATCCCAGCAGGAAGTCATAAAGAATTTTTTTTTTTATAGGTATTATTTCCAAATGCTCTGCAGGCTGAGCTGCCTAATATCCATCACCTTCAGTATATGTTCACAAGCTTACAGTAATTCAGGATGAAGGACACTATTTAATTTCCTTCCCTCTTTCCCATCCCTGTAATCACCTTCCCACTTACCCTCAAGACCTCCTCAGCCACCGCACAAACACCTTTTTGTAACACAATTTAATTCCTAACTGAATAGATTTTCAGAAAACCTGGCACAGTAAGCATTGAAGAAGCACCCTGTAACACCAAATACTAGAACCTGGCTAATAAGCCAGCAGAGGTGCTGAAGGCCTCTGCCTTGTGAAGGCCCAAATGTGCTGCTGAAGCATAATGATTGACTGAAATCTCTAGGAAGGTTGGTTTAAGGCCTTGTTTTTACCCCCTGAGGAAGCACTGAACAGAAGGAAGAGATGATGGGTGGTTAACAGCAACTGTGTATGCAAAGGAGAGATGAGTTACATGGCAAGTTTACTCTTATTACGTTCGCACTGGCATCCTTCTGTATCTCTGAAAATATTCTCACATACAGATATAAAACAGTAATTCAATTTAAAAATTTTAGTTAGTGTAATAAACTAACACTACCCAAAATGACACGTGGTGCTTTTTTCATAGCCAATCTGCAGTAGTAAAAAGAACACATATGCAAAGTCTGCATACCTGTAAACAGACTAAATACTTCAGCAACTCAGTAAAACCATCCTATGCAAACAGTTAACACAACTGAAAGCAAGCATAGCATATCACAGATTGGCTAGTCCTAGTGCTTTGTCAACACTTACTTCCAGCAGTTGCCTCAGTGTCCAAGGACAAGAGTAGCTTGAGTAGATGCCCTACTAGAAAATGAGCGTGTTTTTCTGGCAATGTGTATATCTGTGTACCAGCCAAGAGTCACAAGCAAAGTCAGCTCAAGGACTCTCACCATAAAGCATCTTCCAAAACAAGACTACGAATTACACAGCTGAGCCTAAATTGTAGAATGCAGATTTTAAAACTCCATACATTAGACACAGAATATATAGAGAATTTAGAATGACTTAAAAGATGGCTATCTCACTGTGTTTGGTAATTCTGACAGCTTACCTTCAGGGAGAATTTTTGCCTTACAGAGTTCAGTCAGGAAGATGGGGTCATGAAAGAAGGGATGGATTATCACTTGAAACTAAAGTTTTGTGCAAGTAACCTAGCAGCGTTCTAAACAAACATGCATTACAGTCAGTGCTACGTACAACTGCAATTACTAAAAACCAAAAGGCTTTAAAGTTAAAATTTACAAGACATTGGTGTTTATCCTAGAATATACATATTAACTTACTAGCAAGGCAAGAAAAGGTTTCTCAAAACGAGTGACTCAAAACTGTGAATAAATTGTATACTACAGTTCAAACAGCTATAAAGTTAGTTACAAACACCTGTGACCCCTTGAAACTTCTTCTTCGATTAAAGCCATCAATGTCTATTTTGTGAATAACTTCTAACCCTTCCCTTTGCCCTAAAAACCAGGCCATTTACTTCCAAAGGGAGTCAGCAAAACATAAGCCTGAGAAAAATGCAAAAAGTTTATGCCCCCTTTGCTGTCACTTAGGACGTGCGCACTTACATTCCTCTTTGCTCGGTGAAGTTACATTCAGTTCTGTCAAAAGTTGCTGGTTGGAGTTAGCGGCCTGCGTGGTTAGAGAGGTATTGCTGTTGTCACTGTTTGTTTCTCCAGAGAACAAATCTGACTGGCTGTTGCTTGTGCTGGGAGTAGAGTCATCGTCTGGCTGCTTCTTCTGGAAATCTATCAAAACCAAGATTTCATATGTCATCCCACTTGCTCAATCTCATCATCCCATGTTATGCAAAAAACCTGAGCACAACAAAAATAAACACTGCCAGAGGTACCGTCATTCTGATCACTTGTTTATCTCATACAACACAAAGTTAGATTAGCCTTCAAGTTTGTATGTCAGACTTAAAAGTACCCTAAAAGTTATTTGCTGTTGAAGAACAACGAACAATTTCAGAACTACACAAAGTTCTTGTTTCCACAGCTGTTGAACTGCATCCAAAGCTTACCACTGTGTATATCAGTATACAGGACACAGCATCTTTTTACAAATAGTTCACACAAAGCACATACAAACACATAAAGGAGCAAACATCCAATGAGAGAAGAACTAGGGCAGGTAATACTAGTATAAGGAAATGTTACATATCTCTAAAAACAACACTTCTCACAGCTGTTTTATAAAATTCCACCCGTAACGGTTTTGGTGTTGGACCACTAAGGTTCCAGGTTAGCATGGAGGAGCTGGTGAGGGATTTACATCACTTGTTTGCTGGGGGTTTGGTCAGACATGGGAAGTAAATCACTACAATACATTAAAGCTATGGACTAATTATTTGGCTTCCGAGTTTTCCTTTTGGTCAGCAAGCACCAAGTCACACTAAGTCTCCAAAGTGCCCCCACAGTCCAAACTCTACATCTTCGATAGATGCCACCCTCAGGCTTAGCTTGCCTCCAAACCACATTCAGGTTTGAGGGGAAATACCCTCATTCCTTTTTAAGTACAAAACCTCCCTCCACGTCCTTCCCAAACCCACAGTCCGGATACCTGATTAACTATAGTATTCCTACCAGCTACAGTACTGGATCGTAGCTGGCACAGCTCTGCCGCTGGATGTCCCCAGGGAACACCCCTCCTGGGCAAGTGGATTTGGGTTTAACATACAGTTTCTGTCACAATGCAAAGGCACATTTTCTTTGTAAAGACACAGCTGAAGATGAAGTGCACCACCTCTTGGCATTCCAAGCACATTTTAAAAAAAAATTACATACAAAGGCAGAATTTATTCATTACACAAACACACAGATAAATCAATAATGGTTGCTCATTATTATGTCATGACAGAGAGGAAAACCAGAGCAGTCCATAATTATTTGCAGATGATGCCACATTAGAAACACAGGGCATCAACATGACTCACTGGGATTGGGAAGCACTACAGTCAAACAGTCCCTTAAATGCTGATTTAGGATTGAAGTGATTTGCCAGAGAAACTAAGCTGGAACTTCTGCTGTAGAAGAGTCAGCCAGGAGCCCAGCTTGGAGAGGAACAAGCTCAAAGCCAGGGATAAGGAGGAATGAGGCAACAGACAGGAATCATCCACCTCTACAACACAACTCCGAAAAACCAGTGGGATGCTCTTTGTCACGGATGAGCTGCAGGACCCAGGAAGATGTCCTACCCATGCCTCACTAATAACAAAGTTTTACCCAAGATGGGCTCCTGGATACTATTAGTGTGTTTGTGCAATCAAGAAAGCTTCAAGCACTTGGGATTCTGCACCAACCACAATCAGACAGCTGCAGCAGTTACAACTGGAGCCACCAGCCCAGAAGTTACCTAGTTCTTCATGCCTCTACTGAGGCCACAGTCCTGTCAGAAGGGGAGCTCACAGCCTGAGACATTTTGGGAACCACCAGTCTATGAATGACCGCTACAGAAAACAAATGAAAATGTTACCTGCAAATGTAAGGTGGATACAAAGATTGTGTTTTACATGAGATTGCATCCAAGGTAGTGCACAGAAAAAGTTGTGTTGTGTGCACACCAAGGGCAACAAGAAGGGGTTCTAGAGGTACACAGGCAACAAAAGGAAGATCAGGGAAAATGTGGGCCCTCTCCAGAAAGAAATGGGAGAGCTGGTTTCCCAGGATATGGAGAAGACTAAGATGCTCAATCTCTATCCATCATATTCGACAAGTTGTGGCGGTTTGGTAAAGTTCCCACTGACTGGAAAAGGGGAAACATAACTCACTCTTTAAAAAGGTAAAAAAGAAGGATACGGGGAACATCAGGCCAGTCAGTTTCACCTCTGTGTGTGGCAAGATCACGGAGCAGATCCTCCTGGAAACTATGTTAAATCACATGGACAATGAGGAGACGATCGGTGACAGCCAACATGGCTTCACAAAGGGCAGACTGTGCCTAACGAATATGGTGGCCTTCTACAATGGGGTTATGGTGTTGGTGAATAAGGGAAGAGCAACCAATGTCATCTACCTGGACTTGTGCACAGTGTTTGACACTGTCCTTGCACAACATCCTTGCCTCTAAAGGGATTTGATGGATGGACCATCTCCATCTCTGTGGAGAAGGAACTGGCTGAATGGTCACATTCAAAGTGTTGTGGTCAACAGCTTGAAGTGGAAGCTTTTTTTCCTGAAAATCTATTCATTTTTGCAACCTACTGATAAATTCTCCAACTGCAAAGAGAGCATAAAAGGCTGTCAAACGCAGTCACTCAGTGACAGCATTTCCCAACAAACTTACTAGTGAAACAGTTCAGAGCTGGCACACAGCGGCAAAATCCACCACGGCAGCTACATGATCTTTGTCTTCATGAATCCAGGACCTCGTGTTCACAATCAACTTCTACTCAGACTGCAAATCAATTAACTTGCAAAAAAAGTCTTGGCCTGCACAGTTGTGTGGAACCTGAGAATGTCTCCCATCCCCTCTCTTTAACCACTTTTTCACTGCAGACGAGTACTCGAGGAAAGTGTTGAGAAGGCTGATCTCAAGCACCCGAGACATACTAACTGTAGCTGAAGTTGTACTATTTACTTACACTACAGCAAATTATTAACATTATTAGTAATGTGGTGTCAACAGCAATACAGGACCTATTCAGTAACATAGTTTACACAAGAAATTTGACCTAAATTATCAACAGATTTCTGAAATACTGCTTTGTGGTCCAGTATTTACCTGGTACAAATGCATACCTAGTGACATACTGGATGAGCTGTATCGTATTTCATTTGTGTATCGGCAGAGGGCATTTGGCATTTCTTAACCAGAACTCTCGTTAACACAAATAACTTGCAGATCACCTTGAACTCACCCCAAGCACAATAAAAGCTGGCAACAATTACAGGAGAGCTGTGTCTGAATAAATCCAGTTAAGCCTTAACTGCTTAACAAATAAAACAAAACAAAAATACACTCCCAAGTCAGGCAACATCCTGGCAAGTTTTGAAGGGGAGGCTTTATTCTGATTAAAATCAGAATGTAATTCTGTTGACAGAACACTACTGACCTCTCCTAACAGTCTCAACAAGGGAAAAAACAGAACAAGAGTTTGCAAGACATTAATCATCATTTCCAGAAGTTTCTATTTAACTAGAGATGCATGCAAAACACTTTCATTTTAATTAATTTTTTCCTTCACTTTAACTGTGACTTCTCACTATGCTAGCAAAATCCGTGCCAAAATGCCCAATGATTGACCAAAACCCCATCAAATCTACATTCCCCTTTTTTCTTTTTAAATAACACACAGACAGAAAGACGTGCTAGTCCGCTTACAGAATAAACACAGAATATCCTGCCTTCAGGGGAACACTCCATAGAATTTGCACGAGTTTTTCTATTAGGATAAGACAACCAGAGTCATAAAACGGAATCAGAGATAAGTATTGCACAAAATTGTGTTTATAAATATATAAACAATATATAACATATGCACATATATAAAAAGCTACTTCTTAATATACTCACTATAATAATAGCAATGATAGATGGATGAATTGAAAATTAGACTGGAGATTATGAATTAACTATCACAGTATATTCTAGTACAAGCTATCAGCAGAGCTCATCACTTTCACAGTTAAGCACAAAGTACAGGGAGAACTAACAAACCAGAAAAAATATTAGAAAGATGATTTTTCCATACAACTGAACTTTATTTAGAATTGTGAGCACACGTGGTAAAGGAAAGCCATTCAGCTCTTAGGGTTTTGATTCAGAAATACAGCTTCTTAGACTGAGTTTAGAAATGAGTTCTTTATGCTCAGTTATCCCCCATGATTGCTATACTTTTTAAAATGGCAACACATTATTAACAGGAGTTTCAAATAATATTGTGATTTGCATGTTGCATATTACTGAGCCTTTCATATACATTTTATTTTCTTTTCAAATAAGCAGGAAAAAAAAATACTAGGAAAAGGGTAAAACCAAACAACAAACAAAAAAGATGGATCTGCAATGCAAGGGGTGTGGTCAGTGAGAACATAGCTACAATTACATGTATTTATCATTCAGGAATTAGGATCAAGTTATATAACAAGACTGCCATATTTGTAAAATTACTGGGATGTTTAACATGATCAAGTGTTTTGGTTTTGTTCATTTGTTGTGGTGGTTTTTTTTTTTTTTCTTTCTTTCTTTCTTTCCTTCCTTCCAGAAGTCTGATGACATTGTGTTTTGTGGTGTTTCTATCTCACAAAAAGATACCTCTTGCTCAAAGGTGACATTCCATAATAGACCTCCTTTCCCCTGGCTCTATAAAATTTTTCTCCTACACAGGAGCTACACAGGAAGCTCCAGATGTGTCTACCACATTTAGCATATTATTTAGCAAGAAAATTCATGAATAACCGATAAACAAAGGCTAGCAAGTCAACAAGCATAGTATTATTACAGATGACCTTCAACTTAAGATCCAGCTCACTAATAAACATATACACAGACACCTTCTAAGGAAAAGAAATGCAGTTTTATACAAAAAAGAGTAAAAGAATCTACAGTAACTGTATTAACCAGGCTTATAATACCTTACATGACTGCCATGAAAAAAAATTTGCCATTTTTACAGTACATAATCCCACCAGCTCCAAAGTAGCTGTGTAATCCTGAATTGATAAAAAAAGGAATTTCATTATCATTCAGAAAAGTATCCTCTGAACGCAGCTTCCCCACAGAACAAACACCCCTTGCTCTGCCGGATAATAACAATTTGCTTACTGTAGCTA